GCAGTTGGTGACTTCCATTAAACACACCAAAATGTATATGCATTTTGAAATATTTCAAATGTAGAAAATCTCAGAACATAAAACTTTTACTCTACCAAATGTAATTGTTTCTTGATACAACTTAACTTGTAGATCTATATTTAAGAGAGTAGTACAAAGCAATGTTCAAATACCCAGCTTCTTTTGGTAACTGGTATCATGGTCATAGCTTTAAAAACAACAACAAAAATCTGTTTTTAAAATCAAATTAAAAACGAAAAAAGTAACAATAATCCAAACGTCACTTTTCTCATCTGGGGATATACTCTATACAAATAGAGAAGCTGAGGAACAGAAGCCCCTGTGCCTTCTCTGACTTCTTCCCCCCAGGACCAGGCATCTGCCTGGCAAGAACTCTGGAAAGAAAGGGATGTGGCGGGGGGATGTGAAGTGTTCCCTGCTTGGCATGCTTTCACCCCCAGGCCCTATCCTGCAAAGTAAGGTTTAATCTGAGAAGGAAGCCACAGAGAGGCAAAAACATCTTCTCTACCTTTTAAGAATGACGGGTATAAAGGAACGCTTTCCCAGCTGTTAGCCCTGTGCTTTGCCAAATCTCCAAATGTTGCATGGCCAGACTACGCCACTTCGCCTTTGAGGAACGACTTTTGCAGAGATGCACCTTCATATTAGGCCTTGACATAGGTCTCACTCGCCCAAGGGACAGCCACAGAGTAATCACTTTCACATTGCTGTAAAACACTGTTCCGACTTTACTGTTCCTTGTGCAAAATCCCAGCAGCGCTAGAAAAACTTAATTTCACCTAATAAACACGCATGCTTTCTTCTGTTGAGAGCTACTCAGCCATCTGGTTGCTAATTTTTCCCCCTTTACTACTAACTTCTGTCTTAAGTCATTTCTAGAACCTACACTACCTGGAAATGGGCAAATAATGTACAAATATGTGCCAATATAAAAAAGGTTAAGTTAATTCAATTCAGAGAATACCTCAGAGAAGCTTCCTCACCTGCACCAGACTTTGAAAGAAAGTGATTAAAAGGAGGAAACGTATTTTAAAGAGAGGAAATAGCATGCATGTGCTGCTAGCACAGAGACAGGAAATATGTGAAATATGCTTAGGGAAGTTTAAGTTCATTAGGCCGATCAGTTCTGCTATAGTGCTTGTTTTGAAACAAGCAAATTTGTTCAAATGCAATCAATATATATCAAGGAACAATTGGAGCACGATGCAAATTTTGCATCTGATTGTGCACAATTTCATCAGCACAAGCCCCAGGTGAAGGCAGGAAACTGCACCCGGCTGAAGTAAGCTACCTCAGTTTGCTGAGTATTTTATGAGTTCCACCCATCCACATCTGCAATTATGACTTGACATCCAATCCGGATAACCCTTCTTCCACCACTTGACAATAATTCACAAGCTGCAATCCTTCTGACAATCGCTTCTGAAAGCAAAGGTCAGGACTTTTTGAAGGTAGAGTGCCATCTTTCTATGTACTTCTGCGTTTCTTAATCATTTAACAGGTGTAAAACCGTGCTACCATTTTATTAGGTTTCTATCTTTTCTTTTGTAACGTGCCACTGACAACCTTTTTGAGTGTTTTGCTCCTAACACCCTTTGCACCATAGCTCTATGGTTTTTATTGCGTGATTTCGCATAGTATGGTGGTTTTAGGAATGCCTATGTCCCTTCTGGCAGAGCTGACTCTTCCTCTAGTCTAAAGCATGTGGGAGGGAGGACAGCCTGCACCCAGGGACTGCTGCTCATTAGCCATTGTTATCCCACATCCACTTTGTGCTTTATTCCTACCATCCCATTCTTTAACCAAAATCACCCAAGTTAGAGGCTCTCATCACTCAAATATTTAAACACCACATTCTCTGAACTTTCTTAGGTAAATTAGAATAAAAGGGAAAAATTCTCCTTCAACCTAGCAAATATGCCCACTATTTTTCCCTTTATGTCTTCTCTCCCAAAAGTTGTTTTACCTTCCTTCACATGGAATTTAAAACCAAGGTTCATTTAATTTTGGCATTTGTTTACTTGACTTTATGTCCTAAATGTGCCAAGGTTTCGTGTCTGATTATAGTTATTCAAGGACACAGACAACATTTGTGTTTGGTCAGATGCTTTTAGTAAGAGATATCAGTACGATATTCAGTTCGAGTGTAACAATTTCAGCAGAGAAGTAAGGGAAGAGTGAAGTAAGAACCCAAGATCAGATGCTCTGACAACACATGAAGCTCAAAAAACCAACTGCATTTACATACATTGTGCATGTTTCACTTCTAGACAGCATACAAGGTCAAACCGCTGTCAGTTACAATAAGCTTCCAAACTTCTGGTCAATTACCTGGTTAATAACAAAAGACAAGGCTATGACATCATTACAGTTGTAATTAATTTACACAGATCAGCCTCCTGTTAATCAAATACATCTTTAAAAGCATTTAATTATTTTTCACCTAGAAAGCAACACTTAGCTTTGTTAAATGAAAAGCAACCTGGCTGAATTCAACATGAGAAGCTGTCAGACTGCTTTAAGGCATAAATGACAAAAGGCTTCACAGGGCACACTGTGCAATATAGGAGCTATTGCCATACTCACAGCAAACAGAAGCACAAGATGATGGATAACACAACACATCTGAACAGTTTCCAAACATAAAGAAGTTGTCAGGGAACTTGGGGTAAACAGACAGATTCTGGAAAAAGAAACATCACAGTGCTTTTTGTCAGAATGATACACAGGGCTAGCAATATTAACGTTTGCAGTAGAGGTCAGTAATTAAGGTCATGGACTTTGGTAAGAGCTCCACAATACGCCAGCCATGTGACCTTAGGAAAGTTATTTAACTACTGGTTCCTCACCTGTACAAGGAGATAATGCAGCCATATTCGGTGTTGTGAGGATTAAATGAGATTATATATATAAAATCATAAATTGGGAAATGATACTGTTTTTAATGCATATCAACACATAAAATAAGGCTTAAGATTAAAAATTTTAAATAGCTTTAAAGTGTCTTTATAACTTAGTAACCAATTAGCATTTTTCTGGGCTATGATCCTACATTTTTAAACTGCATCATGTGATTCAATTACACATACATTTTAAAAAAACAGTATGATGGGGTGTGTGGAAGGCACAAGAAAATAGAAACGATTTTTTTTAACTAAGATAAATTTTGTAATAAAATCTCAAATCAGAGTTTTTGTCAACATTATCTTTAAATTACCATTACATTTGAGAATTTAATGAGCCTCCATTTTAGGACTAAAAAAAACTCTATATGTCAGATGGCAAAATTTTTTATTTTTCCCTCCTTTTTAAAGGGTTATAGTCTTAACAGAAATGATTAGATTATCTTTATACGTGAAAAATGGAATGCTGGATTTTGTATATAATCTTGACTTTTGCTCCACAGTGAGGTGAATTAGTGCCAACTCCAATTCTGATCCATCACCGCTTATGATTTCCAATATCAATCATAAGCTGGTTCCCTCTCTCACGGGCTACAAGTTTTAGTTTAACGAGGGCTCATTAAAGTTCTCCAACTGACAGCCCTGCAGACGTAGGTCCTTAAACCAGGAGACGTACAGGGAGCAGCAATGCCAGCATCCCACCATCACTCCCTTCAAGAAGATTTAAGTAATTCTATTCTGAGGTTCGCTCCACACCAGATTTCTTTGTTTGTCTACCTAAAGTCAATGAAAAAGTGATAGCCATAACCCCATTTAGACTAACTCATGTAAGAAATGTTAGTGAACTATTTACGTAACTGAAATCCTCCCAACACAAGAACTGGCCAAGAGGGGAGAAGCATGCCAGGCGACAGAGCTGTGCACGTTCCACAAGCACACAGGACGTCCACTAATTACCAGGTGGTGGGGACGGCTTGGGCTTTGTTTCCTTTCTTTTTCTCTGCCCGGCATTAACACCTCATTCTTTCAGTAACAGGTAAGAGACGCCTCTCACCCCCATTGGATGTGGTCCTGGGCGGGGGGAATCAGAAATCCAGGATGCCTTTCCTACACTGATTCAAGGGTAACAGTGACCAAGAATGGAATAATAACTCTCTTCCTGGAATCTAACACTTTTGCAGAGACACTAAGACCAACAAATTCTGGATCTGATACTCAGAACATTAACTTAAAGAATTTTCCAGATCTATCAAAGTCTACCCAAGCCTCAAGAGCTCATCTGGCTGCAGTCCTGTGGTTTGGTTTTTCTGTAGATTTTCTGAGCTCATCCATATACTTCCAATAAACCTCTTGTTCTTGAATAAGTTATCTGGATAACTTAGTTAACTTAATTTCTGTTGTTTGTAGTCAAATAACCCCACACAGATACTAGGGAATTTGCCAAGGGCTGGCAGCAGATCCTAGTTTATTTCAAGCATCATCAACTCTCATTTTTCAGAGTACATACAACACTCTAGCTAACAGGAGAACCAAAACGTGGAGGGTATACAAACAGCATCTCAAAGGTCTGCCACAGGCTAAACATCTAGAAAGCAAAAAGGTCCCTTATTAATACAAAATTAACATTCCTTGGAAAGAGAAAGAGGAAGCCCTGAATAATTCCATGTGAAGGAACTTCTACTACATGGGCAGCACACACAATATTTATTCCTACATCTGTTCAAGCTCAGCATCACAACTGACTCATTAAAATACACATCCTTGAAAATTTCTGGTATCTGTAATATAAAAAACACAGCAAAATTTCTTTAACAGTGTTGCTCAAGGGACTTTCAAGGGGAAAAATTCCAAAATTAGAAGTGGCTGCCAACACACACACACCCTTATATATTATTTATATAAAACTGAAGTCATTGTAATATGTATCTAAATTTCATTCATACTATCCTGATATTGTGACTTTGGATTAAAAATGCATAAGCAAGTGAACACTGTGGAGAAACAGCTGTTGGTGTAATGACAACATTCCTGGATCTGAAGCTAGATATGGGGTCAAGTCTGGATGCCATCACTTACTAGCACGTGGCCTTGGGCAAATCACATAATCAGTCCTGCTGAGCTTCGGTTTCCTTATCCATGGATGATGAAAACTCCACTTACTTCCTGGAGTCATCAGGAAGAAGAAATGAAACAGCATATTATGTAAAAGCACACAGCACATCCCCCAAGTTTGTTTTCCATTCTCCCTTCCTCTCCATAAACTAATGAGCCTTTTGCCCCTATGGAACTAGACTTTATTGCTTTATAATTATGATGCTCATGTAACAATGTCCAAGAAACGAGATGGTAAATAATACCAACATGCAAACCTGAATGTACGCATTGTTAGTTGGCTACCAGCTAGATCCCAAAGGGCTCTTGCACACTATCTATTGCTTCCCAGAAATTTGATACATTATCTCTTCTGAATGCAGCCAGAATTATCCACGGGCTTTGAAATATCACCATCATGATGTTGCAGAGAGCAGCTGGTTGATTGAAAGTGACTCCCCCTCCCCCATGCTCCAGCTGTCACCAGGAAACCCTCCTCAATGTGTGAAAAAGGACAATGTGATATTACTACTATCGCTATTAAAAACAATCTAGCAAATACTTAGCATTTGAAATTGTTTTTCTTATGAAAGCTCACTATTAACTAAAAATTAACTCTTTAAGAAAAACCCTTTACCATATAAATGCAAACCAGCTGCTTTCATACAACAAAATACTAAAGGACAGTAAACACAAGTAATATATTTCCATTGACTCCTTGTTTCTTTTTCCGTGAGTCATTTGTAATGCTAAACAACAGCCAGTTAAAATATTAAAGTTTTAACCGTGGTAACAGCTGTCACAGCTTAGAGGGATTTAAAAACAAACAAAACTGGGCTTCCCTGGTAGTGCAGCAGTTGAGAATCCGCCTGCCAGTGCAGGGGACACGGGTTCGTGCCCCGGGTCGGGAAGATCCCACATGCCGTGGAGCGGCTGGGCCTGTGAGCCATGGCTGCTGAGCCTGCGGGCCTGGAGCCCGTGCCCCGCAACGGGAGAAGCCACAACAGTGAGAGGCCCGCGTACCGCAAAAACTTAGATGATTTCTCAAAAAATGTGCATAGATTCCTCCCTATTTTTATATAATATGGGTCGGATTGAAGGCTGGATTTTTTTTTTTAAATGATCTCACTTCTCTACATGAGAAACTATACATATGTCTGACATTGCTGATAACCCTGGGAGTTGTCTTCAGAACAAGTTTGTGGATCCCACTCAGGAATTCTCAACACCTGACTTTTTAGGTACAGCTCATCTCCTGAGGATTTCTACCCCACAGATGGTTTCACACCCTGTCACACGGACTCCTTGAAGTGTCACTGCAGGAGGCTCCCAGCAGGCAGGTCCTATGCCCTTCAACCCCTCTTCTCTTAAAACCTCTCAGTTCCTGAGCTTTACAGGTAAGATGCTGCTAAAGAGGGTCCCCTGCTAAAAAATCTGAGGCCCCCTGCTTAGATGACTAGAGCTACAGCATAAAAGGCCATCTATCTTTCTAAGGCATTTCTATCTTTGTAATGGTTTTTAAAAAGAATTTTTACATACACATGCATTTACCTAATTTTACTTAAATGTATAGATTATTTGTCCCTACCTCCATATTATAATACATTGCCAAGTAAACGAAATTATGACCTAGTATGACACCTTTCAAGTCGTTTCCATGCTCACATATTCATATGCACTATATACAGAAATATGAGATTTTTTGATCATTTTTTAAAATGGAACATAAAACTCTTCACTTTCCAATCATTAAGCATCCATATTGAAAAATAATGATTTCAGAGCTATAATAGCATTTTCTTATTCTTTGGTGCATGTCTTCAGTGAAGCCTCATCTCCTATAACAAAGTGCCCCCTTCTGTGGCTGACTGTCCCCATTAACTAACTGTAGATACTTAAACAGTAATCACCCGCTGACCTTGACCTTCCAGTAAACACTCAAAACAATTTATGAAAGTTGCTCTGTTATGCTGACAGAACTGAAAATGGTGCCTTTCTACCAGGTTTAGAGTTTTAACTTTCTCCAAAGTGTTTGCTTTCTCTCATTCACAATACTGTGAAAGCTCTTCAGCATTTTGCTTAAAAAGAAAAGCAGCGCAATCAAGTAATTAATAAAATTACCTCATTTATAAAAATATTACGAGGAAATGAATGAGATCAAGCTAGGTTTGAGGTAATAACTACCTTTTCTCCCCTGTACAACATGCACCAGTTACTGAGCCTCTCGGCGTTAACAGACATGCTTTCCACTTGATTTCATTTTATTCACTGTCCTGAGGTGGTCACACACCACGAGTCCTACTCTATAGGAAAGGAGATTCAGGCTGGGAGGATGTAACTTGTCTACTGGACACAATCAGTATGTAGCAGAGGTGGGGTTCAAAGCAGGGTGTGCCTGACCCAAAACCACCGCTAAAGATCAGCCTCTCTGACACAGTGAACAAGAAAAATGGGGCCTTTGAAAAGTGAATACTTCATGATGGGACAGTGTTAATTTAGCATTAACAAAATTATTTATAGGGTATAAATATCTAAACTGACTCACAGTTATCTGAAAACTCACCCACAATACCCAGGAGCCACGCTGTGGCCTCGGGAGCAGTGGACTCTAATCAAAGTGACCTGTTGTTTCGGCCATGGTGCTACAGACTCTTCTCAACATCACAATGAGTCTAGGCTTTAGGTCAGCTGCTTCAAATCCCGAATATTTCTCTTTATCCCCCCAACACCAACCCCCTGAAAAGGGGAAGGAAAAAGCTGTAACACTGCAGCTGACATTCTGTAAAAACAGCAGATGGAGGGCACATCTAACTTAATTCCTGTGATGCTTCCAGAAAACACAGGTAAGTAGATATGATGAGAACTTCTTTGCTATCGTGGAGCTGTACGACACATGGGGAAAAAAGGACAGAAACATCTTCAGTTTTGTCTCTCGTTTCCATGTCACTGCTCTATAATACTTCTCAACTCTAAGGCTAAGGCTGATCTCCGATCAGTTATCCACTCTACTTTCTTTACCAAATTCTGGGTCAAAAGAAGGCACAATGAAGCTGAAAAAACCAAAAGGCCAAAGAATTAAAAACTGCTCTTTAACACAATTACTAATGCAGTTCTTAAAAATACTACAGCATTGGTATTAACTGAATATCCTACATTCGACAGCCTCAATCGTATACAATATAATGAGAATCCATAAAAATAAACTGCCCTCTAAGCAGCAGAAGAGGCACAATATTTGTGCACTACAACCCACATCTAAATCAAGGAAGAATCCTTTCAGCACAGTCTATGTACTTATTTTAGACAGTTCTAACAAGTTCCTTAATAACATCTCATCTTTGTTTTCCACCTGTGTTAAACTCTTTTCCTGCATTTTTATACTGAATACTTTCAGTCCTATGAAGTAACCTTTAACTAATTTGTCCCAGGTCCTACACCTAAGAAAGGTTTCACCTGGATTCAAATTCCATTCTATGACTACACAATGGCTGTTCTTTATCACTATGGCCAGTAATTCGCAAGCTTTAGCACACAGGTGCCTTGGGATCAATTCGAAGTCTTGTTAAAATAGATTTCTGATTCACTAAATCTGGGGTAAGACTCCTAAATTTGCATTTCCAACAAGTTCCCCCGCTGACGTTGATGCTGGTAGCCCTGGAACAATTTGGGAACCCAATGCACTGCCTTCTTCTAAGATTATTTGCTTTCCCAAGCCCTGCCACACCAGCAGCAAATTAGAAGTTTTTAGATTTAAAGGTTATTAGGACAGCAAAAAGTGGCATATAAATGTGAGACATAAGACAGATTTTTAAGGAGGAATTCCAAAGGGGGAAAAAAAAAGAGCAAAGTCCAGCTGTCACTGCAAAGAGACCAACCCATCTCGATGACTCAATCATGACTATGCAATAATTTGACAGTAACACTGAGTTTATGCTCGGTTTGGAAAATCATATAAGCATGTGATCCGTTTTTGTAAAGGTTTTTAAGGCCTGGACAGAAAAGGATTAAATACACAGTGTATTTCCTGCCCCGTATTAGCAGAAATACCACTACTTAGATTAGGATTAGGATTGTTTGCCACACACTTGTTCTGAGAAACAGAGTTACTCTTCCAAGAGAAACTGAAACTACAAGCTGTCGCTGATGCAACGTCCCTTTAAACCACACCCCCCCGCCCCGCGCCTCCCAGAGCCAACGCCATCCACCCGGGGCCTGGGCACGTCGTTCCCTGTGCGATCGGCCTCAAGCAGAGACGCGAGTGAAGATGAAGAGACCCCCGTTAGACTCGCTCCGGGAAACTCCCTCCCAGTTCTCGGACCTGTTGAGAGCTCCCACGGAGCGGAGGCTGCGCCTCCAACCCCGCCCTCGCCTGGCCCCAGGGAAGCCCACGGCCTCCCGCAGCGCCGCCGCTGCCGCCGCCGCCAGCGCCCGCCCCGCGGCCCTGGGAACAGTCGAGAGACGCGGCGCGCAACGGACGACTGCATCGGCGCCGAACAGACGCGAAAACTCACGCTCTATACGGCCGCCTGCGTCCCCACGTCTTCGCGACCACGTGCGTCATCACGCACGGGCGCCCGCTCCCGGACGCTCCAGGTCCCAGCGGCCTGAGGGGCGGGGAGAGAGCGTGGTTGATTTCGCGACGCAACTCCTACGGCCCCCGTGGAGGGTGGGGAGGGCCGTAAAGCGGGGCGGGCGGGCAGCGGCGCATGCTCAGTTGCGCGCGACCGCGCTCTTTTTTTCCCCGCGGGTGGCACCCAGGACCGCGTGCGGTGGCGGTGGCTTGGAGGAGGCTCGACGGGGAAAGGACCGCGGCCGAGCGCGGCGTGGAGGGCTTGTACTTTGTACTCGTCCTCCAAGCTCCGAGTGACACGTAGATAATAATATTCCTTCTGCCATAAGTAACTATTGGCTGCCCACCACGGGTAAAGCAAGCGAACGGCCTGGCTTACATTCGAGGGACCGGACGCGGGATGGAGATGCGGCAACTGGGCCGCGTGGCGACTGAGAAACTGCCCTACCGGGCCCCAGCCCTGCCGCAGGCTCAGGACCTGTTGCGTGGAGGAGTCACATACTACCTGTGAAGTGGATGGCGGAAGAGACAGAAATCTTCATGAGTTAGAGCGGCCCATCACCCATCTCAGGGCGGAACCCGCGGTTACAAAGCAGGCCAGCAAAACAAGGTCGTGGGTGTACATTTCACAACCCAAAGTCTCAGTCTGAGGCTGCATTTCTATGTCTGTCTGTCTGTTTAAGGCTTTAGGTGTTAAGTATTTCTGTGAACGTATCATGTGATGCAATTTTAATTATGGGTCTGTTTCTGCTCTGAAACAGGTTTTATGTTGGGTTATAGGAGTCAGGTTAAGTTAAATGCTGTATTTCATGCAATATGAGAAAACTATCTTATTTGGTACGGAATTTTCTAACAACTAGGGGGAAGATGCGTCTTTTCCAAGGACAAAACCAAGTGCAGGTGGTTTTATGCTGCTCTGTATTTATTGGAAGTTGTGGCAGCTGTGTTTAGATAGTCTACTTAAACAAAAACTGCCTAAATCAGAAGAGTTTTGACTATCTTTTGTTATTGTGTATTGCAAGAATTCTTCATGGAAATGTTTATTATGGAGTTTGGAATTTAAATGAAGATTTGGCTCACGTGCAGGGTGTATAACAGACGTTCAAGTGATAAAGAAGAATCTTAGCAATTTGCAACTATGTTCGTTGAGCCTTACAAGTTATCCGTTTCTTCTGAAAACAATACGCTGATCAGAAAGTTTGGCTGACAATGAGAAACTGCATTTCTGGAAATAGAAATTCAACTGAAGGGTGGAGATGAATTGCCAATAGAAGTATTTTGTGTATTTCCCTAGAAAAAATAAAAGTAATTTCTCAAAAAGAAGGGATTCCCTTTTATCCTGATCCATGATATTATGCATCAGTTTAATTAATGTTAATCCTTATCTTCCATTCTCTAACACCATTTACACCTTTCTATAATTGCATCATTCTTCCTGTCCTTATATGCATATATCAAATACAGACGTGATTTTAAGGGAGCCACAAATCAAGAAGTCTCAATACAGTAATCTCATAAAAATGTCTTTATATATGGGGATTAAGAGTATACTTAGGTTCGGGCTTCCCTGGTGGTGCAGTGGTTGAGAGTCTGCCTGCCGATGCAGGGAACATGGGTTCGTGCCCCAGTCCAGGAAGATCCCACATGCCACAGAGCAGCTGGGCCCGTGAGCCATGGCCGCTGAGCCTGCGCGTCTGGAGCCTGTGCTCCGCAATGGGAGATGCCACAACAGTGAGAGGCCCATGTACCACAAAAAAAAAAAAGAGTATACTTAGGCAATTTTATTCAATTTCAGACATCAGTGAAAAATTTCATAGCCATTTAAGAGGAAAGAAAAAGTCTAGGTTTTAAAAAATGACCTTTTTTGTCCTATATGATTCGTTGATCAGACAAGAATTTTTTTTAAGCCTATTGAAATCAACACGTATCATACTCAATCCCCAATTAAACTGACAAACAGATCACTTGGATAATAATTGTATATCTTATATGTGGCAATCAGCAAGATCCTTTTACTGAGGCAAGGCTTCAAAATACCAAAAAGATCAATGCCTGAAGAAGCCCTTTAACACAAAAGTTATGCAATTATTAAATTACCTTGTAAGATAATGATTCCTAAAAGCTCAAAAGTATTCTTTTATCTTTATTGTGAGAAAAAACAGGATTATGCACATGACATATGATATTTGAGACCTGTGTAATTGTCTGGACAATTTTCTATTTTTATCAAAGTTTTGCAGGAGAGCAAAGATACCTGAGATTAAACCATCTGATTTAAATGAGTGTTCCTAAAATGTGATTCTTGAGTACAGAGGAGTTGTGGTTAAAAAATCTTTGTACATTTCATAAATCTAGGATTGGAACTGGGAGAAAGGCAGGTGAGTATCATTCACAGCTTTCAAAACCTGGACTGAAGGTGGGAAAACATGAGTCAACAACACCATGAGCAAATAACACAACTGGATTATTATTTTAAAGAGGAGTTTGTTTAGTATCTAATTCCTTGTAATGGAGCAAGTATTTATTATACCCAACACTATACAGAAAGATGTATGAAACTCATCAAAGAATTTATGCTTTATTGTTACGAAAAAGCTTGCAAATTAATAAAAGGATAACTATAAAAGTAAGTACAAAGTTGCATTATGTATTATGATGATGAAAAGACTAATAGTACTTAACAGTGATAGACCATGCAAATGGCAAACATAAGGGATTTGCAGTGGCAATAATGATGTCAGACAAAACGGACTTTAAGACATATATTTCTAGAAACAGACATTTTGTAATAAAAAGGTCAGTATGTCAAGAAGCTATAATAATTAGAAATGTACATGCACCCAAAACAGTCCTAAATACATGAAGCAAAAATTGTTAGATATGAATGTAGAAATAGACAATAATTTGATATTTTAATTTCACATTCTCAATAATGGGTAGAACAACTAGACAGAAAACTGCTAAGACTATAGAAAGCTTGAACAACACTATCAACCTAACAGATATGTATAGACCATTGTCCTTAGTGACAGCAGAATTTATATTCTTTTTAAGAAGTACATTCTCCAGGATAGTGTATATGCTAGGCCATAAAACAAGCCTCAGTAAATTTAAGAGTATTGGCACCATGCAAATTATGTCCTCTGGTTACAATGGAATTACATTAGGAATAGATAATAGAAAGAAATTTGGGAAATCACCCAAATATTTGCAAATTAAGTTACTCATGGTCTGAAGGAGAAGTAACAAAGGAAATCAGAAGATATTTTGAACTGCATGAAAGTGAAAACACTGAAATTTATGGGTTGCAACTAAAAGAGTGATCTGAAGGGTATTTGCTGCTTTAAACACTTATATTAGAAAAGAAAAAGGGTTGTAATATTCTAGGCTTCCAGTTTTAAAAACTAGAAAGATAAGAGCAACTTAAACCTAAGCAAGCAAAAGGGAGGAAATAGCAGTCATACTGGAAACTAATGAAATAGATAAGAGGAAAAATAAAATCAATGAAAATAAAAGTTGGTTCTTTGAAAAGGTCAGTAAAGTTGACGAGCCTTTATTATGCTGACCAAAAAGGAAGACACAAATTACTAAAATCAGGAAAGCAGGATATCACTACCCACCCTACCAAAATTAAAAGGGGCTACAAATAACTTTATGCCAACAGATTAGGCAATGTAGATGAGTTGGACAAATTCCTAGAAAGAAATTGCCAAAACTGAATCAACACAACAGAAAATCTGAAAAGAGTTTGTATTCATTTCCTAGGGCAACCACAACAAAGTACCACAAACTGAGTGGCTTAAAACAATAGAAATTTATATCTCACAGTTCTGCAGGCTAGAAGTACAAGATCAAGGTGTTGGCAGGACCTGGAGGATCCTTCCTTAACCTTTCCTAACTTCTGGTGGTTTGTCAGCTAATCCTCCTTTGGCTTGCAGCTGCATCAGCTTCAGTCTCTGCCTTTGTCATCATATGGTCTTCTCCCACCATGTGTCTGCCTCTTCTTCTTACTAGGATGCCAGTCATAGAGGATTAAGAGCCCAGCCTAATCCAGTATGACCTCATCTTGACTAATTACATCTGCAGTGACCCTATTTCTAAAGAACACAGTCTGAGGTCCTGGGGGTTAGGACTTCAACATATCTTTTTGGGTGATACTATTCAACCCATAATAGTCCTATAACAAGTAAAGAAATTAAGTTAATACTTTCAAATATTCCCACAAAGAAAAGCCCAGGCCCAGATGGATTCACTGGTGAATTCAATCAAATATTTAAAGAAGAAATGATAAAATCATTCTCAAACTCTTTATAAAATAGAGAACACTTCTCAACTCATTCTCTGAAGATATTAAATCAGATGACATTACAAGAAAAGAAAGCTAAAGATTAGTATCTTTCATGAACGTAAAAAAAATTTCTAAAAAAGGGTTAGCAAACCAAATCTAGCAGTGCATAAGAGGGACTATATAACATGAATGCAAGGTTGGTTTAACATGGGGAAAAAAAAGTAAAACACCATATTAGTAGACTAGAGCAGCAATCCCCAGCCTTTTTGGCACCAGGGACCAGTTTTGTGGAAGACAAATTTTTCCACAGATGGCATCAGGGGGCAGGGGGTGAGGATGGTTCAGGCGGTAATGCAAGCGATGGGGAAAGGCAGATGAAGCTTCACTCACCTCCTGCTGTGCGGCCCGGTTCCTGACAGGTCGCGGACTGGTACCAGCACGGGGGTTGGGGACCTCTGGATTAAAGGACAAAAACCATATATCAGCTCAGTAGATACAGAAAAGCATTTGATAAAATAAAACACATTTATGATTAAAAACTCTCAGAAAAAGATTAAAAAAGAACTTCCTTCCT